TGGTTCACTTAATGGTGATGTGGCATTCATACACTTATTGATGTGTAAGTGTGAGAGTTGATTTATAGGAAGGATCTCATGCCACGTGTAATTATGTGAACCATTATGTGAATGATTATGTACCTGTAGCATTACCCAATTCATATTCCAGTGACCCGACCCACTTACTCGCGATGTAAAATTCGCGTTTTCCCAATTTCAAATTGATTTTCGGAAGCCCTGATTTCATGCAAACAATTCGTAACAAAAACAAAATTTTTCGTAATTGAATGTAATTTTTTCCTTTCAAATCTTATTAATCCGTTATTGTAAGAGAAAAAGGCACAGTGGTTGGTGCCATAAACCATGTCCTTGAGGAGCAACAGCAGCAGCAATTATAGTAAAGACGACGATCGGAACAAGGACACGCCTTCTTCACCTTCTACGCTGGATTCAAGATTCAATCAAACTCTCAAAAATGTTCAAGGGTATGCGATTAATTTGTTACTCCTTAGATCCAACAGTAATTAACTGCCAATTAACCCATAGCTTTTTTACCGAAGGAAATCCCATTTTCCAGTCGGACATGGGTTTCTTCTGTTTTGGTACAGATTTGAATACCTATTTGAAAATTAATACTAAAAAAACCAAATAGAATATAATTTGAGAATTCGTATGAACTTTGATCCGGAGATTAATTTAACAGCTATTGTGTTTGTTAGCTGATAATTAATGTTCTAAATTCTAATTTCAGTAGATTTGGTTATTTACAGCGTAGATGCATCTAAATATATATATATTTTTTTGGGTGGGGGGGAGAATGGGATCATGGAACAGTGATTTTTGTGTGCCAATAATGCAATGAAAATGGTATACATCGCTTGATTTCGATGGATTGTTTCAGGTTCTTAACTATGAATTATGTGATCTATTTTTAAATTTCTTTCAACATTTTTATTCTTCTTCAACTTCGATTCACTGATATAAATCATTCACTCGGTTTTGCCTACATTTTCAATAATGGGGCTTTCCATTGCTTTTGCTGTTTTATGCACATTAGTTACAATTGATTTATTGTTTTATTTGCCTATTTCCATCATTGTATGATCTACATTTCTCAAGGAATCAAAATATATGAAAGGCTTAAAATCTTAAGATAAGGTCAATAGGTCAACTCAGACATAAAATGTTCATCAATTTCCCAGATTCTAAAAGAAATGCCATCCATTTTGTTCTGCTTAGAATTGTCTTTTGTTGAGTGGTTATATTCCTGATGCAATGATAAATAAATTCAGTTGATTAAAGTGTTTTTCTCTTTTTCCTTAACAACATTTTAAATATTGCATTTTTTAAAATGTACAGGTTGCTCAAAGGTCGAAGTTTTCCTGGTAAGGTATTGATAACACAAAGGTCAGATCTTCAGGATCAATCAGCTCTGCAATCACCAAATAACGACAGAAGGTTCTCAAACGATGATACTGAACACAGGGACAAGTTTGATAGATCTGTTGAGGTAGTACTAGCGACAATTTTCTATCATTATCTATTCATAACGCACATGCATATGTTCCATAGATATGAGAATTAAATCCTAACAACAGATTTTACTTTTATTTATATTAGGATGAAATCCAAAACAGAAGCAAGGCAAATGCTAGTCCATCTGCTAACAAGATGAAAGCATCAACGTCAAGTACTGAAAATCCATCCAAAGAGGTTCAGAAAACTGCAATAGGAGCTAGATCTACAGATTCTGCACGGCTAATAAAATTCCAGAAAGAATTATCTGGAACTACCATCATCTTAGGTATTAAAATTTATTTGATCGATTTTTCGTTTTGTATCTTTTCCCATTTATGGAAATTCCATACTCTTTAGATGATAATTGTTGCTATTTGCATGTAGCGATGCTGGTCTTAAGTTGGTATGATATGCAATGTCAATTTGATTTGTATCATAAAATTTCACTTATTTTCATCTTCTCAAGGAAGAAATTAGAGATCTGTTTTTATTTAATTTTTTCCTTGCAATTTGCAGCCTTTGCTCGTTTTGTTCATTTTTCATTCTAACACATGCAGAAAAACTGCGTGAATTAGCTTGGAGTGGGGTCCCACCGTATTTGCGTCCTACTGTATGGAGGCTTCTTTTGGTATGCCACATTTCCAATTTGAGTTTTTGACTTTAGAAAGATTTTTGGATAGGAATTTATGGTACTTTAGTTTCAATTACTTTATTTGCAAATATCTATAGTTGTACTTTATGTTTGGAGTATCCTGTACACAGAAACTGATAGGGGTGGTGCTTCCCTAGTTTGATAATATGACAAAAATGTAGAACTAAACTCAAATGGCATTCTGCATGTTCAATATCATTTTCTTTCACCTGATAAGTAAATTTATATTTATGAATGACTCATGGAGTGTTTGTAAATCTAACTGACCCAACACCTCCTACGAGAAAAGTGGATCATTAATCCCCTGTTTGATTCCCAATTTTGGGGTAAAATGTATTATGGAATAATGATTTGTTGGAGAATGTGTGGTTAAAAAATAAGGAAAAGTTTTAGAAATGCATGTATAATAATTTTATGGGATAATGTGTGGTTGAAAATGAGTTTTGAAAGAATTTATTCTTGAAAAAATGGGGCTCAAACAGGGGCTAAATAATTAATGGCCTGTCTTCAACTTCTAATCCATGAAAGTAGCATTGACAAGGAGTCAAGAGAACAGTTACTGAGCTGTACTCTATCATTTAGTTAGTCTCTGCTTTTAGAATTACGATATAAAAAGGTATAGATACATCTAGGGCTTTAGTTAGGACTAGTCAACCCTTTCTAGGAACTTTACTCAAACAGTTTTTGGGGTTAATGTTACCATCTTTAGAAAATTTTGAATTCTGAAGCTGCTTATTCAGGAGATCTGATCATGTTTTTTTTTTTTTCGGAATTTGGTTCCATGATATTTCTATCTTGAAGTTTTACAGTGCTTGGCAGGCCAAATTTTAGAATTGATTTATTCAAGATTTTCTTTTTGGCATTTTGAATTTTAAACATGAACTGACAACAGGGATATGCACCCTCTAATTCAGATAGAAGGGAGGGAGTTCTGAAAAGAAAGCGCCAGGAGTATCTAGATTGTGTTGCACAGTATTATGATATTCCTGACATAGAGCGGACAGATGAAGAGATCAGCATGCTCCGTCAGGTATGATATGCCCCAGTCAGTTTGTTTTTCCCATGTGCATACTTCACAGTATTATGCAGCCACATAATGATTGCTTCGCTTGTGCTGGTTAGATTACTGTCGATTGTCCTAGAACTGTTCCCGATGTCTCTTTCTTTCAACAAGCAGAAGTTCAAAAATCGTTGGAACGAATACTGTATACATGGTTAGATACTTTTCCACACCTTACCTTTTCCTCTAATTTTGATGCTCCTTTTGATAGCAAAGTTTGCCTACAGTGGGAAAGAGATCGGTTCATGAGCCTCCCACTGTGAGCAACGATAAACTTCTTTGTATGTTTTTCTTTCTGAAAGACAGTTGTCCTGGTGCTGGCACCTAGGAAAGTTACACACATTTGCCTTCTGAATTTTCAATTTCTTTGATTTTGTCTTTATCATTATATTTCTTGTATATCTGCGATGATATTATTAAATTATATTTTTTCTATGCTGCCTACAGAAACACATGGTTTGTGGCTCTCATTTTCTGAGAATTTCCTGAAGTAGAAATGATATAGAAAACAAAATTTTAATATTTCCATTAAAAAATGGCCTACATCTGTATTTATTTCCATGTTATCGATGCGGCGCAAGTATGTGAAAATACTCTTCTATAACAGGAATTACAAGTATGAAATTTGATGTGCAATTGTTTGAATTTGAGCTGTTGAGAAAAGTATTATAAATGGAAGGATCTGACAATGGGTTTAAGGATGGCTGGTAGTTTGAATGCAAAGATCTTGAGGAGAGAGTGAGGGGCTTGGCAACTTTTTTGAAGTTCACTGTCATGGTTGATTTACATAATGAACAAATTGGCTTCCTAAAGTAATTATTATTGGCTTGGAAAGAAAGAATAAGAAAATCGAAGGAAGAAGAGACAATTTCATTAGGGGGCCAAAAAACTTGGTGCACAAGTGGAGATTAGAGTGAAAGCAAATCTGATTTGATGACTATTTAATGATTATCAAAGAAGTTTTGGACCTTGATGAGGAACTGCAGCAGCGCAAATTCAGAAACAAGGGGAAGAAGAAACACAGAAAAGAGATGGGTTGGAGAACAGAGCTAATGGAAATGTGAATTAATGACTGTCAGAGAAGCTTTGGAAATTCAACGGGAACTGACATTGGTGATAATGGCTTTCGAGTGAAATTTTTTGTACCTAATACTTTTCGACAGAGAAAAATTGACTTCTGATTAGTTAATACTGATTCAGAAACAAGGGAGGGGAAAAAGGAGAAATAAAAAGAGAGAGGAATTCCACAAAGGGAGAGCCTCATTGCTGCAACCTAATTAGTCAAAAATGGCTAAACTATCTATAAAAACATAAATGGTAAATAAACATCGGGAATATGGATATACAAGGAAGTTTTAGGCTTAAACAGTGTCATATATCTATACTGGTATTTGTAAATAGGTTCATTAAAGCTCTTGTCACGTTTTAGATTAAATGAATTTGAGCACTGTAATTGAGATCACGTAATAAACTAGGTTCACTGAAGATTTTAACAGAGCTTTAAGGTAAAAGGAAGTCTACTTGATACTAATGCCTAACGCAACGAGTCTTTTAATTTTTCTGATAAGTTGATTGATACCCCTTAAATTTCAGCCCCAAATTACTCCCTTTCTGCTTGGGTGTGTGTCCATGTGCATTTTCTTTAGCATCTCCTCCAAGTATTTTTCTTTTGGCTTCCCCCTACTTGTTATATTCTTGGGAATCGTCTGGGAATCAAAAAGTGGAGATTACTGATGACAATTTGTTGCAATGATTTAGTGGTATCATCAATAGAGAGTGTGAGGTTATCATAAATTCAAAATATTGTTGATTTGGCAGGAAGGCAACAGGCATGCTGCTTGATATGGCTCTAATCTGTGGTTTCAAGTTGTTAAAGTAGAACATCTAACTGGGCTCTTTTCGACCAAAAATCCATGATATTGAATTTTGTGTAAACAATTACAGTTATCTTTTATTGAGATTTTTTCTTTGCAAGTGTGGCCACTTTAAACTTTAAAATCTAAATCAGTTGTATTGTAGATTCGAAAATTGAGACCCTTGACACCCTCTTATTTTCCTTAAATAATTCTATATCACCCATAATTGTGGATGCTATGCCGTACTGTTCATTAACCAGTGTTTCTTTACACATACATAAATATTTTTATGCATATTGCATGGATGCAGTTCATTGTTTCCTCAACTAGACTTGTATATTAACTTGTTATAATTCAATTCAACAAAGTCTTATCTTAGATTAATATAGGGTTAGCAGCGTGGATCCTCTCTCTATATGCTCTATCAAGTCCATTTTCAAATTTAAACCACAATAGCCGAAATACTTTTTCATTTGCTCAGTACATGTGGGTTTAGTTTGACCTCTTTGCTCAATATAAACTATAGAAATATACAAATATGTAAAGCTGCACAATACCTTAGTTTCCCAATGTTGAAATCTTTATGGCTACCCTATCATGTCTGTTTGGCTAAGGTGCACTTCTATATCTACTTCGTTTGTAAACGCTATGCTGTTGATAGCTTACTTCTCGTGTTTCTTATCATATCTTTTTCCCCTTTCCAGGGCAATTCGGCATCCTGCTAGTGGTTATGTCCAAGGAATAAATGATCTTGCTACACCTTTCTTAGTTGTTTTCTTATCAGAATACTTAAGTGGTAGTATTGATACTTGGTCTATGGCTGATCTTTCTCCTGAGAAAATATCTAAGGTAGAAGCTGACTGTTATGGGTGTCTATCAAAGCTGCTTGATGGTATGCAAGACCACTACACATTTGCTCAGCCAGGAATTCAGAGGCTTGTGTTTAAGCTAAAGGAGTTGGTCAGAAGGATTGATGGTATTAATCTTTCATGACATTTATTCATGAATAGTCACAGCACATGTTTTTTTTTTAAAAACATTATGTGTATTCGTAATCCTATGATTATTATTTGGATAAAATAAAAAACACGGAGAAATATTAGTTGCATAATAATAAATTACGAAAAAAAAAAAGTGAGTTCTAAACCTCTTGATTATGCAGTGTAGACTTCATTCTTCCTCGGCCACAAATGGCCTCAAGAAGGTAAGCAAACACAATCAATTTGTGTATAATTTTTGTGTGTGTATTAAAACTTCATGTGCTAAATATAGTGGGATACATGATGTAATAATACGGTGGAGATAGGCTTGTCGGTGTCAGTGTGGAATTTGAATAGGCTTGAAGTTGAATGGGTAATGACATGTGAATGATATAATGGCGACGTATATTGCAATTTAAATACATATATGAAGGAATGCATAGAAATGAGTAAGAACATCTATATATGAATAAGCATTTAATTGAGAGTTCATTAATGATAATATTAATTGAGGGTCAATCAAGAATTATCAAACATTAGTGAGGGTATTGTTGTCCAAAAAATTATTCTCAACTTACGTGATACTTAATGGCTAACATTTTATTCTTTGACATGTAGATCTTACACAAGCCACTGACTTTCTAGTCAGTATCACATTATACATATATCTAGAAGTTGTCTTTATTTCTGTTATTTAGTGCTTTTATGCAGCTGGCCAAATGTTCGTCATAAATTTTTAAATATGTGCCACAATATACCTTTGGAGATGCTTAACAGAACTGTAATTCAGAAAACCTTTTTCTTGTATAGTTTAAACTTGAGAAGCATGTGCAAGAACAGAATGACAGGTAGTTTACTCATTAGAAATAAAATTATATATAACATAAGTTTTTCCCCCCTCAAAAAAGCTTAATTTTTTGTAAAAACCGTTACCCCCGGAAATCAGATAGATGTGCCTCTAGTTAATTTAAGCACTCAATTAAAATATCTTGTTACTTGAAGCGTAAATTTTTTTTTTTCCTAGCATGTTTGTGTCAATACTTGCCTCTTATCTCCTTCATCATGTATACATGTTTTCTATCTTTCTCGGAGGTGACCGTGTGGATATAGGTAAAAATTGATGTAAGAAAATGAAGTGAAAAATGGAATATACATTACTGGATTGACATAATTCATTTCTGGCAATTTTGTAACTGTTATTATTGGTGAGCATACCCAATTGACAAGTTGGTTTTTCTGAATTTGCCAGAACCTGTTTTAACCCACATGGAGGAACAAGGGCTTGAATTTCTTCAATTTGCTTTCCGCTGGTTCAATTGCCTTCTTATACGTGAGGTTTGAATCGATGCATTCATTATTTCGTGATATCATAACTTTGTTCAGGTGCTTATATACGTATCATTCGCTCTATAAAATTGGGAAAGCATGTGATATGATAGGTTTGGTGCTTTTGTTCAGGTTCTGTATTTTAGACGTGCAATCAATCTTGACAGTTTTCATAGCAAAAGGATACCTAATGGATTTATATGCTTTGTAGATTCCTTTTCATCTTATAACCCGCTTGTGGGACACATATCTTGCGGAAGGAGATGCGTTGCCGGATTTCCTCGTGTACATATTTGCAAGCTTTCTTCTAACGGTAATATTTGATTTCGTACATGTCTTTGAAATTGAATAACACACAACTTGCTGTATAGTTGATGGAATTTCATAATTTCAGTAGTCATTCCAACTAGTGCTTAAAACCATAACTACCTCGTGTGAATTTTTTTCTTTCTCTTACAGTGTTAGCATAATTAAATATTGACTCGGTAATATTTGATCTTTTGTCTGATTATCACTGTCAAAGAGTTGGAAACTGAAGTTTGTTAATTAAATATTTCTAGTGGTCAGAGAAGCTCCAGGAGCTTGAATTTCAGGATATGGTCATGTTTCTTCAGCACCTTCCAACTCAGAACTGGAACGACATGGATCTTGAAATGGTGCTGTCCCGAGCTTACATGTGGCACACGATGTTCAATAAGTCTCCTAGCCACTTAGCTGGCTGAAGAGCAACATTATCTGTAACATGGCCCTTTTTGTACTACCTTCCTTTGAAGTTTTCACAGATTTGTTTTCTTGCTTAGTTTCTGTTAAGAAATTCAGTTCTCTATTCTGTATTATGATTTGTAATATTTGTGTTCTTGGTTATTATTACGTACCTTACACCCTAATGAAGAGAAAGGGGAAAAAAACTCTCGTGTCCATTTTTTGGTGATATTCAATTGGCACGAATTAGTTTTATTCGTATTTACTGAGGCAGATCTGGAATGCATTTCGTTTGAACTTTTGACTTCAGTCTTGTAAAGACATTGTGGGGGAAGTTTTCGATTTTGGTTGGCAGTTTTGTGGCTACAGCAGTGCTGTTAGATGTGCAATTGAAAGAACGTTGATGGGTTTGGGTCGATGTGGTTGTGGTGGTACATCGAGGCTGGTGGTGAATTTTATAGTAGAAATCTGCTTTGTAATTATTTTGCTTTTCCTTCATCCAAACGAACTGTTGAATGGTAATGCGCTTGCTTTACGGATGAATGAAGTACACCAAATATGATCATCTTCGTTTGATTTTTTTCATCGAAATGTTTGTTTTCAAAGGTGTTTAAAGACACAAGGAAGTTAAACCATGTAAGCAGGGGCGGACCCAGACGAAATNGAAAAAAAGGGATAATGTCTAGGTTTTTAAAAGACAAAAAAAAAAAAAAAAAAAAAAAATTTGTGGGGTTGTGGGGTCATTTGACCCCACATGACCCCATGTGGGTCCGCCCCTGCATGTAAGTTGTTCTTTGCAATAAACATCCTATAGTGCAAGCCAGACAATGAATAATGATACCTGACCCAGCGGTGCTACATCATTACACTTTATATATTTAATTAATTAAGTCATGTAATTTTATATTTAAATGAATTTATTATTTAATGACATGCAATTGCCACCTAGGCCGTTGATTAACACCAATGATGATGAATAGCATTGCTCACCAGACAATACCTAAATATCTAAGATGGTTAACCAACATCGACTGCAGATAATGTGGTTCTGCTATTGCAATGCTGTTCATAATGTCATTTCCTCACTGCAATTGGAACAGTAATTCTGTAGATAATTTTGTGTTGGCACTGCAATCGTTCATTGGTTTTCCATTGAAGATTATCTTCTTTATGATGAATGAATAGGAGCTATTGACATATTTAATGCTTGGTACGTTAAACTTAACAAAATAACTTGTCCAAATTAAACATATATAATCTAACGTACCAAATATATGATTAATATATACAAAAATTATGGAACTCCAAGCTAATATACCCATCAGGCACTTGGGTTTTTAATGGACTAAGATTTAAAGCACTGAGGCATTCTATCTGCTAGAAATTTCAGGCATTCCTAGATACTGTTAAAATATACTGATTAAAGAAAAAATTTCATTCATCTAACAATCCGATCTACAAGATACCAAGAGGTTGATAGGTGTGGACACAAAATTTGGTAGGGGAGACCTATATATTGCGTGGTAAATCATCAAATTTCTTCCTAGTGATTAATCTCCTGCTTTTGTAAAATTGGTTTGGCTTCAATGCGAAGCTCTTGTATCCAATGATTGACGTGCTAGATATTGTCAGACAAGAATAAGTGACCTTCTCTTCGGCTGTAAAAAAACGACAATGAGAAACTCATATGAAGGACAGTAAGTATATTTTTTACATCAAGAAGATCAATTGTCAATGAAATTCAATTTGACAAAGATCTCACCAGCTTTATGAATGCATTGATGGAAAAAACATACATCTATATCTAGTTAAATGAAACAGTCACATGCTCTGGTAAACATGCAGTAAAATTGCAAACTTAGGAAGTAGAAAAGATGTAAGCTGCAGGGATTGTACCCTGTCAACAAATAATACTCTGTCCCCAATGTTAAACAAGAATCTAGTAAGTCCTGCGAGCTTAAAAGTAATTACAGTCTGGCCTTTACAATTGATCATCATGGCAGATTATGAAGGATTCAATTATTCAATACAAAATCAATTTTGACAGATGTTTTTTATCATCTGCAAAAACATCTAGAAACTGAGCCTTATTCCCAATAAACTGGGATTTTGAAACATAAGAGTTCAAATTGCAAAAGGGTACTTAAAAAGCTTTAAATGTCTTTCTAAGTATTAACCTCATTAACAAAGAAAAGCACAACTTTCATGTACCAAACTTGACTCATGGAATAATAACGTTATTCTGATAACAGATACTATCATAAATTCTTTTAGGTGTCTAATTATTGGGTATCAGAAACATTTAATTTGGCACGTGAAATGATAAAGACTATTAATTTCTAGCACATTGCCACCTGTGATTAAAGCAACAGACACTCCACAACCACTCACAGTAAGAGATGATGGAACCTCTCTTCCTACCATAGACCTACCAGGGAAACATTTCAAACTTCTATCTAATTCTGCCATGCGGAATTTGATAGCTTCCTTCTACTATGCTGCTTCAGGCACTAAAAGCATCTCAACGGTTTTTAATTAAACATAACTGGGGATGAATTTTCATTGGTCTAGATTGGTTTATCATTATTTTGTTAAACAAAAGAAGATTTCATGAATACATTGCTCGGAATCCAAAACAGAAAAAGAGAATGTAACTATGTCAAACTGTGACATCTATGGCTTTTCATATCATGAACAAACATAACTAATGAATGCATAATCTCTATTTTCTAATTAAGATATGACGGCTTGGCTAAGCTTAAAAATAAGTAAAAGTTACTCCTAAGTAAAAGCAACTCTTATCTTCCTCTCAATAAGCAAAATATTTCCCACTTCAATCATTTAAAAAAAAAAAACTATTTACCTAAAATTATCTACTTATAAGTAAACTTTTTAAGCTTAGACAAACATGCTCTAGGAGAATACAAAGACACCTGGCAAAGAAGAAATGCATCAAAAGTTGGGTAACTTACATGTGCCCTTTCAACTTCTTCAAGAAATTTCTCAGGGTAATCAAAATATTCAGTGCATTCTTTCTTTAATGATGCTGCAAGTGCCTCCTCCCCTGCCTTTTCAAGATTCTTTATTAAAATTGTCAATGTTAACTTATCCGGAGCACAGCCTGAAGCTTTCATTAGCTCATATGTCTCCATTGCCTTCTTTACCATTTCCACTCTGAAGTAGGCTCCAATCATCTCAGTATAGGTCCTAGTATCATGTTCTAAGCTTTCATTCCTTAATTCAGATAAAAGCTGTTCAGCGATCTCGATCATTTTATTCTTCCCCAACATCAGTATCATGTCATTGAATAAAGTCAGACTTGGTTCATACCAAAGCTCCTTCCTTACAAAGTTAAATACCTGAATCCTGATGCATATCAGATAAATTGAACTTCTATTCGAAGAAAACGAAAGAAAAAAATACATACAAAGTCGACATACGAATGAGATTTTCATAATTATGAATTGTGTCTTGAGTACCATACCAAACTGACTGCAGTAACGAGAACATCAGCGAAGTATTAGCAGAATTTCTATACGTGAAAAGTAAATCAAAATGCCGCATCATTGAGCTGCTAGACAGTTCATACCATCAATCTAGTCAAGCTAATGGTCCACTACATTGTTGGTGTGCTTAGGCACTCCTCCAATCCCGAAAATCAGAACCTCAAAAACTGAAGAACGACTGAGCCACAAGAGATATCTCATGCCACTATGCATAATATGAAACAGGCGACTCTTCTACTTCACAATAGCTAATCTTTGAAAAAAGTATTCTTCGCAGTCCAATCAATTTCTAAGCATAATACAATTACAAGTGATATAAATAATACCACTTGCAAGAAAATTGCTTCAGAAAACTAAACTTCTTTTTATACCAGCTTGATAATTTTTAGAGAATTGAGAAAGGCTCTAAAGATGCATGAAGCATAAATCAAGTTGAGCTCGAGCCTTAATTGGCAGGCTTACAGACTCAGATGTGGCTTGCAAGCCTTTTATACCTTTTTAATAATATGCTTATAATTCACTTCCATTCATATAATGCCCAAGCAAAATGTGTTGCAATGCAGCAAAAGGCTTCCAACCTCAACCCCGTATGGCCTCATGAGCATACTGTTGAACTACCTCGTCTAGAAGCTAAAAATGTTAAAAGAGGGGACACGTATTTATTTAAATTCAGTCTTCAACACA